CTGTGGCAAAGCCACAATTACATATAAGACCCCAACTTGCATAAACAAACTTTGTGCTGTATAGAAAAAGTATGTAGCGTTTCAACACCAATTATATAGAACATATCGGAAGAAATAGATCTTAGAATGCAACGATTAGAAAAGAAACAACAATGTGAGGCAATTTTACACTTATGGAACAATGGTGTATGGAGTGTGCAGGAAATTCAATAGAGAACTAGCATTAGTCACTTTACAGTATACTACAACCTTAAAAAGTTGACAAAGGTAGGCAATTTGAGGCAAAAACCAGGTGCAGGAAGACCAAATAAAATTAATAACCATATTTTGAGGGTCATAGGTCAGTACATTTGGCATAATCCAACAGCTTCTACGGTTCGTATAGTCTGCAAACTTTCAGAACAGGGTATTACAGTTTCTAGGCATACAGTTCAGAGGTATCTTGTTAAGCACAGTTACAAAAATTCTCTTCCACTTGCAGTCCCAATGCTAACACTTAAGCAAAAAAAGAACAGAGTAGAATGGACTAAAAACCACCTTCATGATGACTGGTCCCAGACTTTATTTTTGGACGAAACATCATTCCAACTGTTTTGGAACACAATCACACAGTGGTATAAGCATTCTAGACTGACGCTGAGTGTTCCTAAAAACAGGCAAAAAATTCATTCGTGTGGTGGATTTTCTATCTGTGGAAAAACGAGTCTTTACTGTTTCACTGGTAACATGGATGCTGATTTTTTCATCAAAATCATTGAAGAACAACTCCCCGAGATCAAAGAAATAATGAGGAACAATTGGCGGCTGCAGCAGGATAATGATCCTAAGTATACAAGCCGCAAAGCAAAGAGTTTTCTCAAAGAAAATGTGCCCGCCGTAATGGACTGGCCGTCCAATAGTCCCGATCTTAACCTGATCGAGAACCTGTGGGCACTGGTCAAAAGAAATATGGAAGAAAGAAATTCGCGAAATTTGAGTGATTTAACAATGTATATGGAGAAAGAATGGCAAAAAATACCTAAAACGGTTATAAAGAATTTAGTACGGTCGATGAAATCATGATGCGAGGCGATTATTGCAAAAAAGGGGGAAATAATAAATTTTTAAAATCATGTAAAAAAATCTTTTGGTTTTTTATTTTTAAATAAAAAAAAAAGTTTAATTTTTCGATCACTGGTTATTTATTAAATCACGTTTAAAGTTGTCCAAAAAAATATGATCACCACTGTATATGGTGATGAAGCATAAATTTGTAGCCATTCGTTATCATGTTACACAGAAACTGTGTTATTATAAACAAAAAATTTATTGAGTGACTTAATAAAATTAATGGAGTAGCGGATGTTTAAAGGAAGGAATTTCACGAGCCCTAACCCATAATATGAGAGTTCCTTCCCGCTACTCTGAATTATTAAAAACTACATTTGTTTTGCTATCGATCCAAGCATATCTCTACTAAGTTTTCCCACCCAAGATCAAGAATATCAATGGCTACGATACCACACATATCATCAAAAGAACTCTTTCTGCCATAATTCTATCAAAATTGGTTCCAGATTTCTGAAGTCATATTCAAAAATGATTGTTGGCTTGAATCAGAAGTTTGGATTGATCTGTTTCCTCGATAGGCTCAATTCTTATCTCGTTTTGGAGTGTCGAAATAGACCCGTTGGTTGATGTGAATTCGGTTGTGGCTCAAGATTCTTTAGATCTCTACTATAAATTTTTCTCACGTGAATCGAGTTCAGTTACAATTCTGGCATCACGATTAGCGAGCTCAGTAGTGAGTCGAGTATTACTCGTAGCAAACATGGTATTATGTGCAGAAGGATCGGTATTAACAATGCGGTGATATATCTACCTCAATTTTCGTGAAACAGGTAATATAAGTGGGTTTTATCTTCGTGTCTTATTTTGTATATTCCTATTAGTGATTAAATGTTTTGTTTTTTAAGTCGCAAATATTACTATGAAGCGGATAGAAAGGACAGATCAATATTTTTTCGCCCTTTTATATAGTCATTACCTACACCCCCACTTTGATTAGTACTTTGTACTAGCTTTCCAGCTAAATCTCAAGATATGTACGAAATCCACAGATTAGGTGGAAGCTGGCTCACGTCAAAATTTCTAAGCTCTACTAGAAGTTGCCAGAACGATTTTTTAATAGCATGTATTCTTGAGTTTAGACGTTGCGTAATCGAAGATATTCATGCAAATCATTTCGCAGGTTAAGAACGAACATTAATTAGTTGCTGATAAATCATGGATCGCTTTACTGGTAATCGCATTGACCCACGAATGATTATGAAGTTTAAAAATAAGGTTGGTATTTTTATGAGCATTATGTCTGAAATGTTTATTCTTAATGAAGTTCATCATCAACAAAAAAATATTTAACTGTTAATATTAAAACGTATTTCTGGTCTCTATGTGGCAAAAAGTAGGTTACACGAAGATATATAATAGCAGAGCCTTTTAGTAAAACTAAAGATATAACAACCTCAGATACGGATCATCTTAACACAGATGTGCTAGCTTCCCAGCTATTCCATAAATGAGGTTTTATCCTATTAATATGCGCGGATTGAATAACGATATTCAGATTTTGTATAAGTTTAACCAGCATTTAAATCATAATAATATCCTTCATCATCATCGTCAAAAAATCCACAGAACCCATCATCATCTTCCTCTTTGTTGTTATCAAAAAATTCGTCATTATTTTCATTATCCCTAGTTGCGTTAGCATCCTCACTTCATAAGTCGTTATCAGAGAAATTCTCAACTAGAAGCTGGTTTATATCAATATCGCTATTATCATCTAAGTCAGAATCTAAGATTTTATCGGGTACGTTTACCTCAGTCTCTGGTAAAGATTTGTTATCCTGACTTATTATATCTTCCGAATTAGACATATGAGACAATGTGATAGAGGGAGTGGTCTGATCGTGACATTTTGTCACAGTTTTTGAAGTCACCTTATTTATGATATGTTGAATTTGAGTATCTTTCAATCCAGAAATTGTACTTGCACTATATGTAATGTATTTGATTTTATCTATTCCTACTCCTCTATCACCAAATAGCTTAAGAATTTTTCTTGCCCTCTCAGTTTTCTTACGCAAATTTACATCTGTAATATTAGGTAGAAAAGGTTTCATATCCTTATATATTTTTTATCTTGCTGTTTTATCTTTAATCCTGCCATCTGTTGTAAGGCTTTTAACCTTATTTTCGAATTCTAGAGAATAAGAATACCAACATAAAATTTGTTTCTGACCTGATTTGACTGCTTTATTAAATAAGTCTGATAAACTTTGTACAGAACCCGGAATCATATCCTGTATATAAGACCTACTGTTATCTGAAGATGTGAAATTGGTTTCAGAAACAATACCTTGTACTTGATTACAAGTCATCTCTTGTATTAAACCTTCTACAATTTGATTATCGGATTCGGATAATTCAGCTTTGCCTGCGATGCTAATGGAGATGGCATCAAAATTGTCAAAGTTATTTTAATCATGACATTTTGTCACGGTTTTGGATCACATAATGAAGGGAGTGTCATCTTTTTAGATTCCGGTTGATTAACTAACGATAAGTCTTGATCCCGAAGTCTCTTTTCCTTAATCTTCTGAATTATTTCTTTACTGGTCCGTTCCTTATACATTGAATCCATGATTTCATCTTCTTCCTTTTCTTCCAATGATTTGGATTCTGTATGAATAGGAGACGTGGGGCTTACCGATTCCTGGTATGTATCCAAATTAGATGTGTTAGACTCCTCGTGAGTATCGTTAGGATTTAAAGTGTTATCGGTTATACCAGATGCCGAAGCATTAGCGTGAGCTAGCCTCCGGCTATTAGGTTCATCAGAATTTGAAGCGTTATCAACTATATTATACGTGAGATTTTCATCAAATCGTGAGTCTATCTGCTTAGAACTATCATCTCGGGGATTTTGTTCAAAATTTTCAGATGAAATATCTTCTGTAGAAGATACGTTCTGAGTATTATTAACGATTTCTGTGGAGCAGGGAATTTTGTGTCTAATTTCCTCAATGTCATTTCTTAATTTCATTACTTCAGCTTTAAGGTTTATATTCTCTTTGTTACTTTGCTCTAGTTTCTCGATTCTAATCTCATACTCAGCTTCACGTTCGGTATTTTCTTTTATAGCCTGTTTCAATCTTGTGTTCTCGACCTTGATATTGTCATTCTCTCTTCTAAGCTTATCAATCTCGGCTACGAGCCTGGAATTCAATTCTCTCAATGAATCGTCCTTAGATTGCATATTTAATATCAATTTATACGATTTGTCAAAATGTTCGGAAGAATATTGTATACGTCTTGAAAATATTTTTTATTAATTTATGCCTTTAATTTCAAATAAAAATCACGTAACATCTTTATCACTAATAAAGAACTCGTCGATCACTTTTTGATAAAAATCGTGACAAAATGTCACGATCAGAAAAAAATTTTATTAGCGTGAGCAAGCCTTCGGCTAATACATGTAAAAAAATAAATACAAAGTTCGGGATGTAACCCGGGATACATAATCACCTAACCCCACTCTTCTGTGAGGTTACTCGATGACCTATACTTTTTTTACTACCCTTGATTGTTCACCACCTTGCGAAACTTCCACCGGTTTCTGCACCTCCTCCAACAACCAGATAATATGAGAAAGCACTTTCTTTACCTTGGCTTTCATATCAGCATCGTCATACACAACAATTACCGGTTTCAATAGTTTGAACTTCGGTCTATCTTGTTCATCCAGCGAGCATTCCATAAAGTAGAATTTTTCGGCATCGGTGACTATCCCAAAAACTTTTTCAATGGTTGGTTCCTCCTCCACCTCACTAGCCTTGCGTTTACGATTCGACAAAGATGACTCGAGCAGAACTGCACATTGGGCAACACCTTTAACAAAATCTTCTTTCTTAACTTCAGTGACTCCCACTGTTTTTGCTGTTCGGCGTAAGTGATATAGGGGTAAAGAAATTTTGGTTTACTGATGAGAGACTACCATTATTTCCAAATGTCTCTCCTCAACAATTACATAAAGTTTTCGTCAAAAAATCAGTTAACATTGATTAGTGTCCATGTCTAAAATCAAAAGTAAAACAAGAAAAATTATTACAGATATATATACATCATGATAAATAAAAATTCTTTGTTTGAAATTAGCTGGGACTGTCAAATATACAATTACTCGCTCTATTCTTCTATAGCCAGAATAATGTGCTTTCTGCAATATTATTTAATAATATATAATATAACTGAAAAAATAACTCAGTAAACAATTACCATTCTCCACTACTAAATATAATTATTTGTAATCTATAATAGGTAACTAGAAATATTCACACTAGTTTCTCTTATATAGTTATAACCCAAAAGGTCGCCCTAAAGGGCCTGATTGCAGAAATTAAATCTGTTCTAGCTAATAATGGAGCTTGTTTGTATTTTGATGATATCGATCTTTGGCTTGTTTTATTAATGTGTTGCCTGGTCAATATAGCCATTTAATTACTGCATGTTGGATTATTTTAGCGGAATTAATTTGTCTTCTCCATAAATGACATGTCCGCTAGATAATTAATGACACACAATTTTTTTTATATAATGCTAGTTGAACTTTAAAATCCCTATAATTAGGATCATTGCCTATTTGCTTAAGGCTGGTCAAATTATTTTTGATATAAAATATAAAATTTTTCCAATAATCTTTACTATTTATTTCATATTCTAATTTTAATAAACATTTGCATATATATTTTGGTGGATAATATTTTGTAAATCGTAACCATGCTTCTGATGTTTTAATATTATTGTTGATATACAGTGCGATGCAATAAATTTTGGAAAAATATTCATACAACCAAAACAAGGATTTCGCGAGACGCTAACAACTA